TCTACAGTCAGGGAACCCTTGAACAGCTCCTGAATCCACAACTCCCAGCTTGGCTTGACTGCTCGACTGTAGTAGAAACCCCTCTAGGATTGACGGCTCGACTGTAGAACCCGTCAGCTGCTCACAACTATCTGCCCGCCAGCCTTGCATCCGCTGCACGAGAACCACGACCCCAATATCCGTCAGCTTAAGTTTACATAATATGGGAGTCTTAATAATCAGACGAGGGTTAGTGTACATTATGCGATAACAGCTTGAGGAACCCTACGGAATAGTGCGAGACTTCCGAATTGTAAATTCAGGCCCTGCATTACCTAACAGAGGGATACTGGTAGATGTAGGCTTTTCGACGCAGGGGCACTCGAAAATGACCTCTGGGTTTTGGCTTAGGGCTTCGGGTGTCAAACTCCAGGATCTACAGTCCTTAAAGGCTCTTTCCGTGAGACTCTAAGAGGCATTACAAGGGCGGAACCTTACCTTGAAATCTTAAGCCCAAAAGCCCTAAAGCCTTCAACTCTTAAGCCGTAATTCCCAACTCAGGGTAAGCCCCTGAATAAAATCTAGTTCAAGGAGTTAGAGAACTGCGAATTCTGGTGTCCCCTAAACCTCTCAAGACTAAACCCTGAACCCCCAAAGACTAAACCCTAAACCCCCAAAGACGTGACTAAACCCTAAACCCTACACCCCCGAAGACTAAACCCTAAACCCTAAACCCCCCAAGACTGAACCCTAAGTCCTAAACCCTAAACCAAAGACTGAACCCTAAACCCCTAAACCCTAAATCCTAAACCCTAAACCCCTAAACTCCTAAACCCCAAACCCTCGCCCTCCCAGGTCCGCCTTGCTTCCCCCTTGCAGATACACGGTTTGCCTGCCGGCTCTCTCTCTCTCTCTCTCTCTGGCCAGAGCTCATACCACGGTTGATGATATAAATCCTATGTTTCCTTTAAAGGCATCTGTAAGGGTACCTTTAAGGGGCTCCTTCAAAAAAACTATAGGGGGTTTAGGGTTTAGGGTTGATGATATAAATCCTGCACTACCTTAAGGACCCTAAACTATGGGGATTATGGCATATTCCTTATTGTGGGTCATGCAGGATTTGTCTCATCAACCGTAGGTGCCGATCAAGATAGTCGCCACAGCTATTTGTAAAAAGGGCTCTATAGAAGGAGATAAGGAAACTTACACCCATCCCAAATCGACACCCAGTATACAAAATGCCTTACAAGAGCTGGAGCCATGGTGAAGTGTGTAGTCTAGTCATTCAGACGTGGAGCTACTCAACAGACATCAAGCTGTGTGAAGGCATCTGCGGTGTCTTGTGTGGATACCAGCATCTCACCACACACCGAAACCACCGGAAAAGTCTGCAACCTCCTGCAAAGTTGCTACAGGTCGCAGTTTCTTGTTTGCCGTCGCCGCCGGCCCAGCTCACTCACTTACTCGCTGGCTTGCGTGGGACGCTTGTATTTGTGCGAAGTACGTTTGTTGTTGAAGCCGGGCACTCGTTTTTCGTAGTGTTGCTGCCGCCACGGGGCCACTACAAATGCAAAGAAGCATGGGGTTGCCTGAAACCGATTCACAAAACGACACAAAGACATATCACGATAAGCAAATAAAGAAGCAGAAACAAATCTGTGAATCACGATCCATGCACCTTCGTCCCTGAATTGGAAGCTCCCCACAGAAGCATTCTTATCCCGTCGACAGAAACGATAAACAAAACCGAACCTTGACATCATACTCAAAAACCCTCCCACCTTCCTTCCCTAAACCCTAAACCCTAAACCCCAAACCCCAAACCCGCAACCCTAAATCTTAACCCCAAGACCCCAACCAAAGGGGACACAAAAGCGCCCCGGGGACCGGCCGCCCGGCCTCTGCCAGGGAGCTCCGCTTCCCGAGGCGTCCGCGCCGAGGCGGCGCCAGAGCTCCAGGGTCCGAGCCTTGGGGTTTGGGGTTGAAGGGTTGAGGGGTTTAGGCTTTAGGGTTTAGGGTTGAGGGGTTGAAGGATTGAAGGGTTTAAAGTAAAAGCCAGAAAGTTGGAATATGACTATCTTAAACCCTTTATGGAAAAAATTATAAGGTATCCTACCCTGAAACCATATTCCAACTTTCTGGAGTTTCCTTTAGGCTTTAGGGTTTAGCGTTTTGGGGGTTGAAGGGTTGAAGGGTTGAAGGGATTATGGTTTAGGGTTTATGGTTGAAGAGTTTAGGGCTTTTTGGCTTCAGGCTTCAGGGTTTGAGGGTTTGGGGGTTTAGGGTCTCCGTTTGCAAGGTAGAGACTTCTTTTGGGTTTGTTTGGGGTGGTTAGATTCCTTGTATTTGTTGTTGTTGATGCTGTCGTATTCGTAGTCGTCGTCGTTGATGTTGTCGTTGATGTTGTCGTTGTCGTTGTTGCTGCTGTTGTTGTTGTTGTCGTTGTTTTTGTCGTTGTCTGTGCTTGTTCGCTGGCTTCTCTGTTGTTGGCATGTCTTGGGCCTTTCTGGTTCTGGAGGTTCTCGAGCTTCAGAGAGTCTTTCGCTTCAGGGACCAACAAGGAACGAGGCTGGTCTCAAGTTTAAGTTCAAAAAAGTGTTTAAGGGTTCATGATAGGTTAGGTACGGCCCCCACTCAGTAATAGTTGAATAAAATCCAAAAAAGAGATATAGTAGGACCTTAATAGTAGCCCTATTATGGACTCTTACTGTATGGGGGGACGCACCTCAATGATAGGGTTCTTTCAGAGTCCCCGCTTTGGTTCCCCGCAGGGTTCCTAGTAGGTCCTGATCTGGTTCCTGATAGACGCATCCGACTGAACCGTGAAAAGAACTAGTCAGTGTGCAAAAAACACCAAAAAAACCCTAAACCCTAAACCTCGTCGTACGAAACGAGGATGCCGAAACCGCAACCTCTGACGCGCGGATCCCAAACTTCGGGGACCCGTCAGACTCATACTGTCTCCATATTACTATACCACAAACCCTACCGGAACGGTTGATGATATAAATCCTGCATTACCCATAATAAGGACTATACCATAATTCCCATAGTTTAGGGTCCTTAAGGTAATGCAGGATTTATATCATCAACCGAAGTGCCCAGGACAATAACCCCAATCCAAACCTTCAGGATCAACCTCGAAATTGGGCCCGAGAGGCCGCCCAAGTGCTGTGATTGCTCCAAGCCTCTGCAACGGAACTGAAGCATTCAAGGACAGGGCCTTTTTTGGTCTTGCGGGGTTTAGGCCAAATGTCTACACACTGTCTCAAATAATGAACAATGCTTGAACCACCCAAACATCTGCATAGCCTCATCCCACAGGTCTGGCACCTCCATGATTGGGTAGTTGTCAAAATTAAGGTCCCTTTTGGGTACCCTGAATCTTAGGTGCCGTATTATAACAAGGACCCAAAAAGGGACTATAATTTTGACAACCACCCGATTATGATCAGCCCCTTCCTCAGTGTCATCACGGCATGAGTAAAAAAAAAACGGAATCAGCATCCCCAAACTGCAATCGCTAAGGCAGTAGCACCGGCAATCGCGGCAGTACAGTAAAAGCAATAGGAATCATAATGCTCAGGAATCAGTCACAGTACAGTAAAAGCAATTGCAACCATAATGCTCAGGAAACAGTCATGATAGCAATACCTGTGACACAAGAAGGACAAGAAAATCATGTCCATCAGGGTCGTCAAGGTTCTAGTGATCAGAAGAACAAGGGTAGCCGGGTAGACAGAATGGGTCATCGGCAACTTTTGCCATTGAGCCCATTCAATGGATGACTAGCATTAGCACTGGCAATCGCCACCGCTGCAGCTATCTGCCAAACGAAGAACAGCAGTGACAATGACTTTCGTGTGTCATGTTCATCAACCCACTAAACCCTAAACCTACTGCTCTAAACCTTAAGACCTAAGCTTCGTGCCTACATTTTAACTAGAGTGCTCTTCTCCACTGAGGGATCCAAACAGATCGAGAAGAATTCAAAGATAATATGGTGACCTTCATGACTAGAACAGGGGTACATTACAGTATGCTAATACTGAAGGCCGCGAAGCCAAATATGGGAGGCCGTAAGAGTCGGGAAGAATAAGAGTCAGGAAGGTTGAGGGTTTAGGGTTTTGGGTCTGGGGTTTGGGAATACCTGCCTAGAAGTACCTTACTTCCCAAATACCTGTGGGTGAAGAATTTCAAGCTTTCCAAGAAGACTACCTCATAAGAGCCCCAAAAGTTGAAAACTTGGGCCTTGGGCCACGAGTTATCGGGAACTCTACCGTACGGAAATGCTCTCAGGACCTATTCCGACCTCAAAACACACATATATGTCCGCTGACCCCGAAACCCGAGCGACATATAAGGGCCTACTGCCTGGTGATGCCCCTGGAACCCTCCTAAAACCTTCAAACTCGCCCAACCTTCGCAGCCCTGAAGCGCTAGACCCCTATGATACCTTATGTAGAACCGTTACAGAGGCCCTTCTACGGTGGATGATATAAATCCTGCATTACCCACAATAAGGAATATACCATAATTCCCAGAGTTTAGGGTCCTTAAGGTAGTGCAGGATGTATATCATCCACCGTAGTACCCGTATAGAAACCCTAAGGGCTTCCTTTAAGGGGACCCGTTCATCCCGGCCCCTGCTTCCTCTATTGCTCCGGTTTAGGGTTTAGGGTTTAGGGTTTAGGGTTTAGGGTTTAGGGTTTAGGGTTTAGGGTTTAGGGTTTAGGGTTTAGGGTTTAGGGTTTAGGGTTTATCCGAGCAATCCAAGGCCCGAAACCCCAAACCCCTACAACAGCCCTTGAACCGACCAAAAGAAAAGATCCTAAACCCGCTGCTACCCGAAACCCGAAACCCTAAACCCCAAACCCTAAAACCCGAATCCCTAAACCCTAAACCCTAAAACCCTAAAACCCTAAACCCTAAAACCCTAAAACCCTAAAACCCTAAACCAAAGCAATCATAAAACCCTAAACCAAAGCAATCACAGCGACCCTGTCTGCCCTCCCAACCGCCTCGAAACTGGGCCTCGGGTCGATCAAGGCCACCTTGTGGCGTCAAGGGTTCTTGGGCTCAGGGTTTAGGGCTTTAGGGGTTCTTGGGCTTAGGGTTCAGGGTTTTAAGGGTTAGGGGTTTAGGGGTTTAGGGTTTAGGGGTTGGGGTTTAGGGCTTTAGGGGTTAGGGTTCGTGGGCTTCTGGGTAGGTTTTGGGTGGCCCGGCCGGAAGATTACCATGGTTTGGGATTAAATTTTCTGGGCTTGCGGGTGGCTGTCTGGTGATTGATGGTTTGGAGCTGAAGGTTTAGAGTGGAGTACTTGGAGGTGCATGGGTGGTTATACATGGGGTTATAAGTCCCAGAATAAGGGTTATAACCACAGATACCCTAGTTACAACCCCACTTCTAGCTACCCATGAGCCTCCAAGTACCGTTGTGGGGTTTAGGGGGCAGGGTTTGGGTTTAGGGCTCAGGGCCAGTCTCCGGACTTAATTGGCGCTAGTGTTGTAGCAGAGCCCTACTTCAGAAGGGTCCTTGTAGGATGAGGTTTCAGATTTTGGGCAGGGTTTAGAGTTTTATCGAGGTTTGACTAGGGCTTTGGGACTTGGTTTCGAACTTTAGGGGTTTAGCGTGCTAAACTAAAGTTTAGTGTTTCAGGCTCTATGAGTATTAGGGTTTTCGGGATGTAAAATGTGGGGCATTGCAGCTTTTGGAGCTCTCGTGGCGTCGGAATGGAGCATCGGGCCGGGTGGTCAGAGTTGCTGTAAGGATCCCACATTTGCCTAAACCCTAAACCCGACCCTGAGCCCTAAACCTTAACGGACCCTTGTCTTCAGGGAGCTTTCCTGATCCACATCCCGTCGTGGCCAGTAACCGTACAACCTCTAAGCCTCTTTGGGTAATATTCTAGTATAGCTTGCAAGGATGATGACGGGATAGCATCGCGAATCAAGCCCCTAGATTAAAGCCTTGAGGCTTTGGAGCTTGAGGTGGGGGTAGCCAGTAGCGCCACAAAACCCTACTTGTAGAACCTTCATTTTTGCAGGGTCAGGGTTTGGGCTAACCCAAACCACAACCCAACCAACTTCTACACCCTGAAACCCATTCATGACTTCGACAGTAATCCATCAAGGCATCGCGCTGACCCTCCTTCGTTAGACAAGGGAGTGCCCAGGTTAGCCACAGCCCGCAGAGTGCCAAGGGCAGGACGGCGATGCCCTGCGAGACCAGGGACAAGGCTAATGTAAGCCTCGGTCAACGGACAACACCCGAGCTTATAGGGTTCTACAGGGCGTTACAGAATCTATCTCAGGTTCTACAGTTTCGATATCGTGGGGATGCATCAAGGATTTTTGATGAGCTTGTCAGCGCAGTCTTCAAAGGAGGACCTTAGGAAACTTAGCTTAAGTTACCATAATATGTGCCCCTGAGAGAACGTAGAGGAAGCGCCTCAACGAGAACTGAGTGCCTGCACCAAACTTGATAACTGTAGGAGGCCTCAAAAGGTGGGACAAAGGTAGGTAGGATTAAGGATCTCTTGTAACACTGAGGAGCTAGTGACAAAGTCTCCACCATGCAGATTGCTCCTGGTTCAGCAGGCGATTCTAAGAATCTGTCATGAAGTAGCCGTCCTCATCTGGGTGGACCAACAGATTCGCTGGGCTTTGGCAGGCCTCCCCCCTACCGCCCCCCCACCCTGCCGGCGACACCCGACGACTCGTGCACGCCAAGTGCATCCAACCCTGTGTAGGGGCTGGAGCGCCACTTGCACTTGCGGCGTCGACTGAACTTCGAGTTGAACGAGCACAGGGTGTAGGCGTTGACCAATGTAGACGCCTTAATAACTATGTCAGGGTCTTGGGAGGTTTGGAAGCATACTAGTATGCTATGCCTAGAATCGGCAATCTTATGGAAGTCAACTACGGCTCACTAATCATTCAGGCATTGCTTGGGGACTTGCATTCACAGATCGAACCCAAAGCTCTCGACAAGCGAGACAAGCAAAGCATCGGCCCCCAAAATCATGGGGTTTTGGGTTTGGGGTTGAGGGATATATACCCACATATACATTTCTAAAAATGCATACATATATACATACACAGGTATGCGTCGCTTTACGGCTTGAAGCCTCAAGCCTGAACCCTGAACCTACTCAACCCTCAACTTCGTGAAGAGAACTTGGTGCACGATGAGGAGAGCCAGCGCAGGGGCCTAGAGACTTATAATGTATCGTCACCCAGGTCGAACCATTAGAAGGATGGATTCTCCGGCATCTGCATCCACATACGTGAAATTCTACAAGGCTATCCGCCCTACACTGCACACGTTGAATCCGAAATCCTACACCCTATAACCCCCCAAAGCCTAACCCTAAATACTAGCGACTCGTGACTTTGATAATGGAGACTCACGACCGTCGATCCTGCGCGGGCCCTGGCAAGAATTCAGTACTTAACAAGATAATACTTGGAGGTTCATGGGAAGTTATAAGTGGGGTTATAATTATGGTAACTATGGTTATAACCCCTATTAGCCGACTAGTAACCCCATTTATAAATACCCATGAACCTCCAAGTACGGGAGAAGAGGGTTTGGGTTTAGGGTTTCGGGTACAGGAGTCAAAGCAATCAGAAGCGGGCCTAGCGCTTCGTGTTCTCTTGCTGTCCATGAGGCTTGAACTATAGATTAAAATCCTTTGGCGGGCTCGCAAGCATGATGTTACGACGCATACATTTCACTGCAGTCGGCACCAACGCCCCCAAAAAAGGGATCATCCACTTTTCTATGGTGAGATGATAATATCCCCCGCACGTACCCTAAACCCTCAACCCTAAACCTCATCCAAAAAACGGACACACTCTCCCGAGACCCGCGCCCGGTAGGATTGGCACCTCGGCGCCCCGAAAGCCCCGGAAGCCATCTACCAACACCTACATTTTTATGTCTTGGAGTTTAGGTTTTAGGGCTGAGGGCCAAAACCTATCTTTTTTGCCTTAGCCTTTTTAACCATGGTAGGATTATGTAAACCCCCCAAAAGGTTAAAAGGCTATCTACTCAGCTGCTGAGTTGTAGGCTCCTGATACCCCAGTTCCTGAAAGGAGACCAGAAAACTTAAATATGCGCTAAAGCCGAAGACGCAGTAGCTTAAGATCCCAAGCCGAAAAAGCCCGACATAGAAGCAAGAGAACCTAAACCCGTCACCCTCTCTTGCGAATCTGGCCATTTAGGGTCTATAGTAGGGTCCTCTGCTTTCTGAAAACCCCCATACCCCCCTCCCAAAACCTCAAACTTGAACCTGACCGAAAATCTGATAAGCTTCAGGCCTATCCGGCTTACGCTCTGCGCTGCAACAAGGTTATATGCGGGGGATACTCGCAGGGTTTCGTAAACACATCTCCTACCGTTCCAGAGGAGTCTGGCGACTCAATCGTTCAGAGCTTCGGGTGACCGGCTTTGAGTAGGTTCTCCGGTTGATGGTATAAATCCTGCATTACCCATAATAAGTAATATACCATAATTCCCATAGTTTAAGGTCCTTAAGGTAATGCAGGATTTCTATCATCAACCGTCACACCGTTCTTTTCGTGACCGAGGTTCCTGATTGCAGGATCTCAACCATTGAACAGGTTATGCCCAGAAACGTAAGTGTAAGAACATCCCTAAACCCTAAACCCCTAAACCCCTAAACCCTAATACTATGACGGAACTCACCCTGGTTGAACTTGGCGAAGCGGAAATCCTGCATAAACGTCACCGACTCTCAACCCCATATTCTACCCCCAGCACCACCCCAGAAGAAGCATACAGGTCCCGTAAAGCATCGTGCTCGATAGTACAGTATAGTATGTTATAGTATATTTTAGTATATTATACTATATTATAGTATGTTAGAGTATATTATAGTAAACTATTGCAAATTATCGTGTAAGGCAATCAAAAATTACGGTATATTGTAGTATACCGTCGGTGTCCCAATCTTGGGCCCGGTACCGATGATGGCCACCTGCTTGGAGACGGAAGGTGGCACCTGCGGGATGATCGAAGCCAGAGACTCTCCAAGGGCGATATAGGGGCCTTAGTAAGTAGAATAGGGCTCCTTTAAAAGAGGTCCTTAAAGGGCTGCTATAAGGGCTATTATTATAAAGATGTAGTATAGGGGCCTCAATAATTAGAATAGGGTTGTGGGCCCAGTATACTATCAGTATATAAAGGAACCCCCATATAGGCAACTTGAGTAGGCCTCTATAGTACCTTCACTCGGGGTTCTTATGCCTGGGGTGCCACGTTGAACCACAGCTGAGAAACAACTCCGAAGAAAACATGAAAAACCTTGGAACCCGAAACACCCAAGCAATGAAGCCCTTTACCCGAACCCCGAATTCCACACTCCCAAGCCCCGAAACCCTGCGCCCAGAAGCACTCAACACTGAAAACCCAACAACTCAAGATGCTGTCAGATCAGCAACACTGATGACAGTAGTCATCATCATCATACCGAACCACACGTGCACAGCTAGTCATGGTCACAATGATAAGAAGCCTGGCAATGAGTAATGATCTTAGTCGTAGTCATGATCATACTTGTACAACCCAAATCTCCGGAGGCAAGATTGCGGGGTCTCGAGGTTTTGTCGGGTTGGGCATCGTTAGATGTTGCAGACAGGTGGACGTTGGGTCCCTATAGTTGAGGGTTGAGAGTCAGGGTCCGCATATCTTACACCTCCATCACGAGTCAGGAGCTTCAGAAAATGGAGAATTTCTTCCAAACAAGGGACCCCAAATTTCCTGAAGCCCTTAAACTTACCTTTGGTTAGTAGGGAATGGAGGAATGGGTACTAACCAAAGGTAACCCCAAACCCTAAACCCTAAACCCTAAACCCTAAGTAAATCACAGTTTGCTGGCATTTATTTCGACCTCCGCGGCCAGCGCGGGCCACGTGAAGCCGGCGACCTGCCGGTCGGCGAAAAGCCGAGGACGGAGGTTGCTAATATAGGGGCCTTCAGAATTAGAATAGGGTTTTGGGGCTCAGAATACTATAAGTATATTAAAGAACCCCCAGAATAGTATAGTTAATTAAGCTATAATTATAGTAAGGACCCCCCCCCACAATAATGCTGGTAAGGTGGGTTTCGATGGGCTCCAAAGCTCTGGAGTTCTTCTTCTTCTTTGAAGTGCACCCATAGTCAAAGGGGAAAAGGAGGGACCCTTAATGGGGACCCCTACCCTATAATGGGCTATATAATGGGTATATAATAGCTATATTAAGGGTATATGCCTAGGGGTCCTTATTAAGGGTCCCTCCTTTCACCCTTGGACATAGCCAAGAGGAAGGGTCGGTGAAACTTGGGAGGTTTGGGGTTCATAAGGCTCGGAATGGTATTTTGAAGTAAGCAAGGCTGAGAACACACTTTTGCCAAGATGGTTAGCACAAGGTACAAAGCCTAAGCCCTTAAAACCCTTAGCCCTTAAGGCCAGGTCCCCAAACCGCAAAGAAGTTGGTACTCTGGAGCCCAGGAAAAGGCTAGGGCTTGCAGGTGATCTTACACAAAGCTGAGAAGAACCCAGGCAGAATTAAGGGCTCAGGTTTCGGGTTCAGGGTTCTGGGTTTGGGATGTGCTGCAAGTTTGGAAGCTCCAGCAAACTCCGCAACCCCCTTCACCACGACAACGAAGCGAGGGGCAAGAGGCGCTGGGAGCGATGGATTGAGTTCGCGGCGGCAACAACAACAACAACAGGGATGATGCTGCGCAGTGACAAAAAATTTAGTGGCGATACCAACAGCGTCATCAGTACGGTTGTAAGTTGCATTGGAAACGCCAGTTGAGGCCTGTGCATGTTTGTTGTGTACATGAGATGCTCGCGAAAGCTACCTTGCTGATGAGTTGACGACATTTAGACCGAGAAGACACATACTGATGATCGGAACGTGATTGTCGCGCCACCGGCACTGGTAGTAGTGTCGCAGGCTCACCCACCAAACCCGCAAAATAGCCTAAACCCTAAACAAGCATAATCTGGATTCTTGTGAAGGGATTTAGTTAATTTACTAAATCCTTCGCGGCGCCTCTTTCCCCGGCTCACCCCCCGCGAAGGAACTTCGTGACGCTTCTGCGGCAGTGGGCGTCGCGCCTAGCGGATCGTTGGGCTTTGATCCCTAAACTCCGTATTAAAACCGTGGGGTCAAAGCGGTTTGGGGTGGCGATTACTGTACGTTGATAAAGAACCTTACGAATATGAACAGCATTGATTGTTAATTAGTTATTCAAGCTTCTATGCAACTGTTTTCAATTGTTCTGCTAGGGTTTCATGTTGTTCTGCTTGGGTTTCAGAAGGACTTGTAACACCGTAAACCCTGATTGACAAAGCCCTTCCCGGAATACATGTCGCCTGACGTCGCAGCACCAGTCGCAGGGACCGTGGGGGCACCTAGCCGACTTCTGTTATTTTCATTTAGGGCTCTGGATTTTCGGTTCGGTTGGCTTCAGGTCCTTTGTTCATGTCGGGTCCGAAAAACAACCGAGACGAATCTCGAGACTCCGAAAAGTGGTCATAGAGGAACCTGCTCTGGAACCGGGGCCGGCAGAACCCTAGGCCCAAACCTCAAATCCTCCTTTACACGATTTGGGGCTTAGGTCTTCGGAAATCCTTCCAGAATTCTGATAAAACCTTATGAATCTATCTTCTCTGAATCTGGGTAGCAAACATCCAACCAACAGCCCCGGCTATTCCACATCCAGGAAGGCTATTCCACATCCAGGAAGGCTCAAACCCAGAAACCAGCACGGATGTAGGGACCTTCCTTGAGGGGATGTTCCCGAAACTCTAGACTCGAAATACCTGAGATCTCAATGCTCAGTCTCTGCCCTTCGCCACCCAGAAAATTCTCGGCGCGGCCTGCCGTTGGGGCGGTCTCATTATCGACCTTTTTCGTCTTTCCCCTCATGCCCCTCATCTTGGATGCAGGGGCTAAGGTTTACGGTTTAGGGCTTAGGGCAAGGCTTTTGTTGGGCAGGGCGTAGGGTTTCACAATCATCCCGAGGCAACGAAAAGGACCGTTTTAACATAAAAACAGTTCATCTTTAGGATTACTAGGGTCAGGACTTTTTGAAACATCCAATCCAGGCTCGGGCTGTAGGGCTTTGGTTGTACGGCTCCGTCTAGAAATTTCAGGTTCGGGAATTGACTGTTCAGATTATTCTGGGCCTAGGGTGGAAAATTTAGGTTTTGTGGGACCTAAGCCTAAGCCTCCGTCAAACGAGGAAGCCAGCAGATTCGCTTTGGAATCTGGATGCGGCCAGAGCCATAAAGGGTCATCGGACAGATATTCATATTCGACAATGCCCAGGATACCCTACACCCCCAAGCCATAAACCTAAAACAACCCAAACACGAAGTCAAAGCCCCAAATGAAATTTGCGGGAGGTAATCAAGCCAAGTTCCAATGCAGGATCTTTGGCTTTTGTTGTGTGTCCCATGATTCTCATCACTGCCTGATGCGGGTGCATTTTAATACTTTTGGGTAACATCCATCCACCCATATATCCATGCATACCTACATACTCGCATGCTTGCTCTTGCATGTTGTACTGCGTGGCTCTTATGTAGTACGGACATTGACGAGCTAAACTACACGGCACCGATCTGCCTCTCCTAAGCTTAGCAGTAAATACAATGCAACGTGGCAGGTTAGATCCGGAGAATCCAGAAATTGATGGGCGTGGGCCGTAGGGTTTCCGTCTTTGGGCATACAGTCCCCACATGAACTTGTGTGCGGGAGCTCTTGTCTATCTCTCCAAGGAACTAAGAACTTGTGTTAACAACATGTACATATGTAATGTACATACCAATGTAAGCGTTTTCGTACACAAATGCAGTTTTGTGCGTGCGTAGACATGTCTGCACATACACATATGTATTCACGTATGTGTGTATATGTATATAATCATATTTTTCTTTTATGTACGTAGGTTTGTGTGTGTGGATTTGCGAGTATGGCAGTGTAGCATCTAGTCTGCGCATGTGTGCTTGTATATAAAACTATACATGCGTATATCTATGGTGTGAGCATATACATATATATATATATAGATATATATATATATATATAGATATATATATATATATATATATATGAGTCCCCGCCCCCACGTTATGTACCCACGCTTGGTGCCTGAATCGTGCGCGAAAACTCACACGATATTTCCTGTACTTGTGAGGTAGCATAATTGCTCATTGCTTGCAGCGTCTTCTACATGTAGAAGGTGCGGTTTCGCTTTGCACTGTGTGATGCGAACCAACAACTGCTGAGGCAACTCTTGGGTTCTCGCCGGAGGCCTTTGTTAGCCACGCTGCTGAGGGTTGGTGTCCGCACAATTCGAAGTCCACTGAAGGACCTCTTGGCATGTAGGCAACGGTGTCATATTGTCCGACTCGCTTGACGAGTTCGAGGACGATGAGGAATCTTCGGGTGTCGGGGTTGGTCTCAACAATGCCGGGGATGGCTTCCGGTGGAGTGCCGTTGTCCTCGGGGCTGTTCTCAACAATGTCCTGGATGGCTTGTGGCGGAATGCCGTTCTCCTCGGGGTTGCTCCCAACAATGTCCTGGATGGATAATGGTGGATGGCCCTCTTGGTCCTCGGAAACTGCGTCCTCGTCCTCGAGGGCTACCACGGGCTTTCTGCGGGACTCGAGCATTGGCTCAATGAGAATATGCAATAAGCAAATGTGTGCAGCACTTTCAAGACCCGATATGCCAGTAGGAAGGCCATCTGATCGTGCAATGTTGTTCGAAGCCGATGGTAGGGTCCCCTGGTTACTGGCAACCGTGCAACGGATCACGATCACGCCGTCCTGAGCACGTTAGATGGTGTCTGCCATACTGGGTCGTGTACATGGAGCCTCTGGGTCGAAGACAGAAGTGTGATGAATGAGCAAATGTGGCGTGCTTCTGTTTTAATGAGGAACGAACACGCTTCCGCTTCATTCTTTCGCTTCATTGTTTCGTTCTCATTAACATTCAGCACACATTAAAAAATGTGAAGTCCTGTGCAGAAAATGATGCTTAGAAAAGATGATAACTGCTAATAGGAGAAATTACTAATGATAAGGGTTCTTATTAAAATTAGGTCAAACTTATGGCCTAGAATAAGATGGTAGAATGTTTGTTGTTTACTATGATAGGTGATAAGATCTGGGTCGATTGGCACTTCTGCAGTGTGCTACTGTGGCCGAGCTCCTTGTGGTGCTAATCGGAGCACAGCCCCATGCTGTGAGATCTCCAAATGCCCTTCCGCACGAAAGAGTGCCATGAGAGGTTGAGGATAAAGGCTTGTACACTAAATGCAGCGGCCTGAAGTGGAAGAGAAGTGGAACAAGCACGATTTGGAAGCACAACGGCACGCTTTCAAACGTATTCAACCAAAACGTACTCAATTAAATACGCCTCGGATCCAAGATTCTAGATTCAAGGTGCAGGGCAAAGTTCTCCCTAAGACTTTGAATCTTGAATCTTTGATCCGAGGTTGAACATGTTTTGAATACGTGTGAATACGCTCTATCTGGGTCCGCGGCGAGAGTCTGCACTTAAAGATGAGGCAAAAGCATATGATCTACAGGCACTCCCCCGATCCCACACCGTCCTGCAGCTGAGATTTCGGAGAAAGGCATGGGAACCGGGGCCTCCCAAGAACCCGGGCCTTCCCGCAGCCAAGAATCAGAAGACAGGCGTGGGTACATCGGGGGGACCATCCATATATATATATATATATATATATGTACCTGTGTGTATGTATGTATATATATATGCACATACATGTACGTTTGCAGGTACACATACGTAAAAACAAGTACACTATACAGATATCTTAAATGCACTGCTGGGAATGTATCCGAAGGAAAGCCCCGAGATCAGACGACCTTTTCTCTGCATTCAGCATCATTCAGCTTGGCAGGAACCTCGCTTGGGCCTAGTCATCGGAGAGCTCTTCAGTTCCTAGGGTGGATTTAGGGGTAAGGGTTTAGGGTGCCTAGCTTGTCTAGTATCGTCATTATTAGTATGACAAGCCGGAATGACATAACAACCATCGAAAGCTTACTGTTGGGTTTCGGCTTTCTGCCTCCAACATGAGATTCCGACTGCTTTTGATAGTGGCCCCTCCGAACGCACAGTCAGGAGGGCAGTCACTGAAACAGAGCTCATGGTTGGGATTGCGGATCCGGTGCCCTTGGCTTGACTAGAGGATAAACCATACTTGCACCCTAAAACTTGAAACTCTGCCCTGCTGAACCTTCAACTCCTTACTCGAGACCCTGAACACGAAAACTTTGCGACGTATTTCAAGATCGGGGGCTTCGATTGGCCGGCTGATGAGAAGGGTTTTTTTACATGCGCCGCTGTATAGCAATAGGGTCTGGGCTAGTAGGGTTCAGGGTTCAGGGTTTCCCCAAATCATGGGAGGCCCAAATGGGGGTTTAAGATTTCTTGGGGTAGGGATTCCTTAATATGAGCCCTATTCTGGGAGCGCTAGTCCCTACTAAACCCCCATAGGCTAAAACCCCTTTTGGCCTCCTATGAGACCCTTATAGATCCCTTTAAAGGAACCCCTGTAGATCCCTTTAAAAGAACCCTAGGGATCCCTAACCCCCATAGGCTAAAACCCCTTTTGGCCTCCTATGACCAAACCTTGAGATCCAACAGCCTAGGAGGCCCATGGGCCTTCTCTAGATGGTTTTAGGGTTTTAGGGTTTGGGGTTTCGGGGTTAGGGTTTAGCGTTTAGGGGTTTAGGGTTTTAGGGTTTTAGGGTTTAAGGTTAGGGTTCTCTAGATGGGGCTTTTAAAGCCTTTGAAGAATATTAGTAAATAAGATTCCTCTTAAACCCAATAAGGGAAAATAAAAAATGTCCCAAAGCCCTACCTAGTTCTGCTCTTCGAGCGAAATTTCCTGAGGCCCCAAGAGATCAGAATGTAGGGTTTTAGGGTTTAGGGTTTGGGGTTTCGGGTTTAGGGTTTAGGGTTTAGGGTTTTAGGGTTTTAGGGTTTTAGGGTTTAAGGTTTAGGGTTTAGGGTTTAGGCTCTCCAGTTGGCTGAAATACAGGGGCCATGGTAATGCCAAGAGGGCTTCAAGGGTAAAACCACATCTGGACGAAAGGGAGTAGCATTGCAATTAGCGCGAAGCTACCATGCGAAATAATGTCTAAACTTGAACCCTTCGAAACCCAAGAACAAAACTACAAAAACACTGTATTCTGGTTTCAAAGCTTCGAGGACATTTTGGAAGCCTGGCACCGCAAAGAACCACCGCTCCGCACGGTTCTAGGCCCAGCTCAAAGTTCGCGCTTCCTCTTCAGGGGGGCGGGGGGTTCGGAGTTTATGGTTTTGGGTTTTGGGTTTATATAGGGGTTCAGGGTTTCTGGGTTTAGGGTTTAGGGTTTAGGGTTTAGGGTTTAGGGTTTATGGGTTTATGGGTTTATGGGTTTAGGGTTTAGGGTTGAGGGTTTAGGGTTTAGGGTTTAGGGTTCGGGATCTCCGGTTTAGGGCTTTGGGTTTAGGATTCAGCGTTCCAGACAGGTGCTACCGGGTCTGCTAGAAGGGTTCTTTAAGTTCCATGGGGCATAGGCGTGCGGACTTAGGGTTGTCAGGAGAGGTGCTGAAAGTGTAGGGCTCTTGAACAGACGGAGTAATGACAAAGAGACAAAGGGCGACGATGTAATGACGATTACCATGCCACATATGGGTAGTTGTCAAAATTATTATTGTCCCTAATTGGGTACCCTAAATATTAGGTGCCGTATTATAATAAGGAGCCACAAAGGGACCCTAATTTTGACAACCACCCATATGGTGCTAAATCTTACCAGAGTAGGACCGGTAGTCAGAGACCTTTTGCAAGAATCTGCCTCGCAAGAATCCTAATGCAGGACCTCGCCGTGGGGTCAAGCCACAGAATTCAGTTCAGGGTGTGCTGGTTCTAACTCATCAAAGCGTCTAAACCTTAGGATATGATGTACCTCGAAGCCCAGACAAAACTTAGCTTCAGAGAAAACCCAAAATCCCAAGCCATTAAACCCTCAAGCCTATAGCCGTAACACCCTCAAACCCTAAACCCTCAAGCCCCAGAACCCTAAAACCGCAACCCCCTTAACCGCCGCAACCCCAAACCCCAAAACCCTGACCCTAAACCCCTAAACCCTCAACCCCAAAACCCTAGAACCTGAAACCGTTTACCCTACACTCTAAATCCTGAGACCCCAAAAACCCTGAACCTTAACCCCAAAACCGTAACACCCTCAAAACCCCCAAAACCCTAAGCTTGAGAACCGTTGCCTTGATGGACGGCCCTCTGCAGTGTCTGTAGCCGTCAATTCACACAGAAGCATCCTGCCAAGATGGGAGGGTCAGGTGGGGTTCAGAGTTTAGAGTTGGGAATTTAGACCTTAAAGAGTTTAGGATTTAGGGTTTAGGGCTTAGAGTTTCGGGTTTGGAGTTTAGAGTTTAGGGTTTAGGGTTGGGGGTTGAAAGGTTTAAGGTGTAGGGTTTGGGATCTACCTGCAGTCTCCATTGTAGTTCCTTTTCTGGGTTACGGTTAACCAGTTTTATGGTTAGGATCCTATAATAGAGATTTTGGTTAACCAAAAAAAGGAACTACAATGGAGACTATAGGTAGGGTGGTCTACGCCGGAGGGTCGTGGTGTTCTTCCAAGCAAAGGCCGGGCCATCCCCATGAACCCACACGGGCGGTTGTCAAAATAATGGTCCCCTTTTTGGGTCCTTATTTTGGGTACAGCCCCCCACTCAGTAGTAGTTGAATAATATTCATAATATAGATATATTAGGACCTTAATAGTAGCTCTATTGTAGACTCTTACTGTATGGGGGCAGCACCTAATCCTTATCATAATGCGGCACCTAATATATTTGGGGGTTTCCGAAAATAGGGGACCCTGATATAGTACCTTAAATAGTCGGATCCTTATTACAAGGACCCCAAATAAGGTACCCCTATCTTCGGAAACTCCCATTTAAGGTACCCAAAAAGGGGCCATAATCTTGACAACCACCCAGACAAATCCCGAGACTTGAGCCCCAAGAGTCGAACCTACGACCCAGAGCCGAAGGAGAAACTCAACTCAAAGGGGAAAAGGAGGGACCCTTAATGGGGACCCCTACCTTATAATGGGCTATATAATGGGTATATAATAGGGTATATACCTAGGGGTCCTCATTAAGGGTCCCTCCTTTTACCCTTGGACCAACTCATGTCATGACTAAAAACTATCGAGAAGCCAGAAATAGAGGAACATCAGCACAAATACAAATACAAATGTGAGCATGGATAGATTACAACATGTACTTGCACTAATGTGTGAGATGTGTGTGCGTGTACATACATGTATTCTGTATGCGTGTGTGTGTATATATATACATAACATGGATATCTTAGCCTGATCCCCAACTCCTGCTGCCTCGTGATCCCCTGACCGGGATGGCGCTGCACAAATCAATGCACCGGGAAGGCACGGAGAAACAAGTGGACTATAGATGAAGAAATCGGTAACAACCCGAGCAACAACAGCATGAGAATGCGCAGTTGCTGCAAATGGGAGTAAAAGCAATGGGAACAGCGAGAATGAAGGAGTCTTACCTACACAAGGTGGTGGCGATGGTGGTGGTAGTAGTGACTGAGCAGTAGCAGCAGTAGTAGCGCAGGAGCTGGGAGAGGAGGAGCTGCCGCATCCCGCAATGAGGAGGGAAGATGAAGACTAAACAAGCGAAGAGATAGATCGACGCGGAAACATGCTTCGCTTGCAAACTTTTAGCCGAATTCATTTTTCAGTTGTGGCTAGGCAGATCCGTATGAACACCTGGAGGGTCCTCAGGAAGAGTCGACTTCAACGACCTCCTCCGACGGGTGAACAGTAAGGTTTAATGCTGTCGGTGGGTTGGGTTTAGGTTTCGGGTTTGAGGCGAGCGTTGAGGGCTCTGCACGGAGAGATTCGGGCTCAGGGTCTAGGGTTCTGGGTTCTGGCTTGCAGGTTATGGATGCTTGTGAGGTTTTATGCATTAGATCGGTTTAGGGTTTGGGGCTGGGCATTCCAAATGCGCATCTATGGCTTGAAAGGGCTTCGGGTGTAGGTGTCGAGATTGAAACGAAGGCTTGCAACTTCGGTGGGCTTACTCAACGATGGCTGAACTCTAGAGTTTAGAACTCAAAGAAGATAACCCGGAAACCCCCTCTGGGTACATAGTTTCTCTACATTGGAGGCCCTTTTCGGATCCTTGTTTCAATTCGAATTCTGAGGACCGCCAACACAGAAGCCTATGCCCTTGTAGTCCCTAGGTTGATATAGTTATACTATAAACCACCCCGCGATAAAGTTTACAGCTTCACGGCAATCTAAGGCTGTGTGAAGCCGAAGAAAAGCTTCCTTCGAATGATTACTTTAGCATCTTGAGGTTCCTGATTACAAGTAAACCCCTTAGTGTAATAAACCAAGTTTTCCCATTAATGGTATCAAGGCCTCCAATATAGGGGACCCTGAACACTTGAAGAAGGATTTTGGTATCTATTGTAGTATATGGCAGTACATTGTGGTATAGTCTACCGCATAATTCCATAGGACTTCACATGGGCCCCTGTAGCCGAGGAGCATTTTTACAGTTGACGGCATCCCACCCACGTAGTACTCCAGCACTCACTCCTCGCACAGCTTAATGTAGGGCCTTGATGCGTAGACTAGGGCTTTGAGGTATATTATGGTGTATATCTCTGTGCGTGTATATATATATATATATATATATATATATATGTACATATTTTCTTCTTGTGGGAAGCCCTAAGAGATGGTAGTTCGGTATTCGGTCAGGTTCGTAGAGCCGATTTGGGCACAACCCAAAGCTTGCAAAGGTGAAACTAGTGTAGGAACCTGCTTAAGAAACCTTAGGCCTTTATTGGGGTTCCTCATACGAATCCTACTGTAAAAAACAGCCGATGACCGGGGATCCGCCTGCTGCACGCGACTCGCGAGAAGGTAGTAGTCTCCCGCAACGGCTCTGGGTCCTTCGGTGGGATGGGGCCTATAGCGCTTGGCCAGGGACGCCAAATCTATCTCATCTTCAAACAGATCTGTGAAGACTTCGGCATAAAGGGGGGCACGTGGCCCGAACGCGAGAGCAGCCAGCGCGGCTGCTTTGTAGTGCGTCCAACCCCCGGTCTTGAGTTTGCGAAGGCTCGCAGCACTGCTGCTCTCCGCATCCTTGATTTCGCTAAGGTTCAGTGGTTTCATGACATGGACGGCTCGCGCTAGACAGTGCGAAGAGTGGCGCAGGTGATTCTGAACCCTGGGCACCGTGTGGAAGTATTTCAAGCAAGAGACACAAGTCTCATGCGGCGCGAAATGCCTCACTGGGCTTAAGAGTCCGTGACGTCTAGCCAGGTGGGCGCCGAGGTGCTTAAAGAGCAAGAACTTAGCCGAACACCGACTACACTGAAACTCTGCGGAGGTATCTTCACGGCTGGCTCGGTCAACAACCTGGCTGGCCACCTTGCCATCCTTGCTTGCCCATCTGGTCAAGGCCGCTCGGAAATGTCGCCGTGCCGCGGTGGCCCAGAAGCCGATCCATGGCTCTGCCAGCAATGGGCCGCCGATGTGCAAGTTTCCGAAAATAGGGGTACCTTATTTTGGGGTCCCTGTAATAAGGATCCTACTATTTAGGGTACTATATTAGGGTCCCCTATTTTCGGAAACTCCCATGTTGGTAGGCTTTCCGAGCCAGGGATCTGCGCCGTCTGAGTCGGCTTGCTGGCAGCTGCTGCGCACTAAGTGCTGGGGCGCTACGAGCGATTTGGGCCCTAAGAGATAGTAGTGGTAATTATTCGGCTTCTGTACTCGCGTTTCGGTGCTAGACTTGATGGTTTTGGGTTTAGGATTTAACCTAGAAGTCGTTAAGCCCTGAAGATTTAGAGGTTTGCGGTTTAAGCCAGACGTCTGTAAACCCGAGAGCCTGCAGTGTTGCAGGTCTCGTGAGTTTTCGGGGATTAGATTGCATTTCAATGGGGAAAAGGAGGGACCCTTAATGGGGACCCCTACACCAAAATGGGCTCTAGAATGGGTATATAGTAGCTGTATTAAGGGTATATGCCTACGGGTCCTTATTAAGGGTCCCTCCTTTTACCCTTGGAGCATTGGGAAGTTGCGAACTGAGGTGACAAAAAATTCCAGCGGGTGGGCATCAACCGGAAATCATGTGCACTGACTCTATGGTGCGGTGGACGAGTAGGCTGGAAATGGGCATTAGGTCATGGATTGGGCCGGTCAAGCCGCTTCCTTTCCGCTTCTCGTCGAGGGCCCTACTGTAACTTTTCCGCACCCAAAGACCCCGAAGCCGAAGTACAAAGCCTCAACAACCCTAAACCCTAAAGCCTAAACCCTAAACCCTAAACCCCTGTGAACAGATAACGTAACTCGTCCTGTACTCTGATGCAAGTTGCCCATATCGGTTGAGGATATATATCCTGCATTACCTTAAGGACCCTAACCTATGGGAAGTATGGTATATTCCTTATTATGGGTAATGCAGGATTTATATCATCAACCGTATACGTCTACGAAAGTCTGGTGCTTTCCTTCGTGTGGTAATTGGAGTTTTCTTCCTCCACATGCCATGCAAGCCTGACTGACCCTTGAAGCCCCTAAACTCTAAACCCGAAACCCTGAACCCGAAACCCTAAACCAAAAAGGCTAAACCTTATAATAGATCCCTTAAAGCAACCCTTATATTAAGCCCTAAACCCCATACGCTAAACCTTGTAATAGATCCCTTAAGTCTAAAGCAACCCTTATAGAACCCTGGGCCACCGAACCCAGGAGTCACTTAAACCCGGAACGCAACGGTTTAGGGTTTAGGTCTTGGGGTTTAGGGTTCAGGTTCGGGGTTTAGGGTTCAGGGCTCGGGGTTTAGGGTTTAGGGTTTGGGGTTTAGGGTTTAGGGTTTGGGGGTTTAGTGTTTAGGGTTTGGGGTTTGGGGTTAGGGTTGGGAAACCCTAACCCTAAAGCTGAAGAGCCTCTCCCCTTAAACCGTCCTTGCTGCACAGCCGCCGGCGGTGCCTCGACACATAAACCCTAAACCCTTTATAGAACCCTGATAGATCCTTTTAAGGAGCCCTTTGAGGATCCCATTAAAGGTACCCCTAAGTCTCGGAAACCACCCATAAGCAACCAAAAGCTGCATGCGGATCTTCTCAGGGCTTTGAAAGGATTTGAAAAGGATTCCTATATGGGTGGTTGTCAAAAATAAGGTCCCTTTTGGGGTACCCTAAATATTAGGTGCCGTACTATCATAGGGACCCAAAAAGGGACCATAATTTTGACAACCACCCACATGAGCTTCGAGGTTGTCGGATTCTTGATTCTGGGTTGTTGGAGCGATCTTGAAGTAAAGTTCACAGCTGGCATCGAGCCACTCGTCGTTTGCAATAGGTCTCGAGGAGCGTGCTTGCAGTTCGGGAGCTGTACTAGCACGGGCACCAGCCAGGCGGCAAGAGCATTAGGAAGAGTCGCAAACCCGAAGCCCAGACCCTAACGGTTGATGATATAAATCCTGCATTACCCATAATAACGAATATACCATAATTCCCATAGCTTAAGATCCTTGTGGTATTGCAGGATCTATATCATCAACCCTAAACCCTAAACCCCCTATAGATCCCTTAAGGGAGCCCCTTAAAGCTACCCCTATAGTTCCCTTTAAAGGAACCCTAGGATTTATACCATCAACCGGCTGAAGATCCTGCAGCAAGGAAAAGATCAGGCCGACGATGTCTTAAACAAATAGTGATCTATACTGAACTTAGAACCCTATTATAGATCCCTTATAGACCCTTTAAGGATCCCGCCTAAGTAACAATTCAGGCCCTAAAGTACTATACTGAACTTAGACCCTTAATGGGGACCCTCCCCTACCCTATAATGGGCTATATCATGGGTATATAATAGCTATATTAAGGGTATATACCTAGGGGTCCCGAAACCCTACTATACTGAACTTAGAACCCTAGCAAAAATTGTAATTTTAGCTGTTTCTTAGGGATTATCATAACCAAAAACTAAGAATTATGTCTAAGTACCCCTAAGTGATGCCACCCACCATTAGCCCATTTTTGCCACAACAATGAGCATCAATGCAGACATACCCTCAGAGACAAAACTGACTCTTTGGAAGTACTATGCTTAGTTGCTGAGTTCATTATAAGCCCCCAAAAAGTGCACACTTTTAGTTTAATTGTGGGTAATAGTATAGTATCCCAAAAAGTGTAAAGTGTATCCACCCAGCTACTAAGTGTGAAAGGATGTAGCAAGAGTAACGGGCTTCCAGGCGAGGCATGTGGTTCGAAAACTGATGAGTGAAACTTGCAAACATGGCGGCCATGGCGGGTAACGATGGCAACTGTAAGCAGGACAGCAGTCGTCACGAATGGGAATGCGGATACCAGATGCTACGACAACCCCAACATGGTCTCATTGACCCTCGCCATTGCCATCCCTCTCACCCTTTGCAGAATCCTAATTGCGATCTGCATCCAGAGCATGAACCAATCAGTCCAGAACCTGCACATTTGCGCGTACCTTCGCAATCCCCCCCAAACAAACCGGCCCTAAACCGTAAGAAAGACCCAGCCTTTGTCTTGCCCTCCGGCCTGAAACCCTGAACCCCCTAAACCCCCTAAACCCTAAACCCCTTCAAACCCTAAACCCCGGAAACCCTAAACCCCCGAAACCCTAAACCCCCTAAACCCTAAACCCCCTAAACCCCCTAAACCCCCTAAACCCCTAAACCCCAAACCCTAAACCCCCTAAACCACAAAAACCCCAAAAACCCTAAACCCCCTTAAACCCCGTAAACCCCTTACACCCCAAAAACCCCCAAAACCCTAAACCGTAAGAAAGAGACCCCCCCCCGCCTTCGTCTTGCACGGAGCCGGGGCCTGCGGCGGCCCAGCCCCAGGCTCCCTGAGCCTGGCGCTGGCGGGCGGCGCCTGCAAGGCGTCGGAGCGGGCGAGGAGTCGGATGCTTTAGGGTTCTATAGGACTTAGAAGGTTTAGGGTTTAGGGTTTTGGGGTTTTAGGGTTCTATAGGGCTTATAAGGTTTAGGGTTTAGGGTTTTGGGGTTTTAGGGTTCTATAGGACTTATAAGGTTTAGGGTTTAGGGTTTTAGGGCTTTAGGGTTCTAGAGGGCTGATAAGGTGTTCTTTTGAGCACCTTTTTCCGCCTAGCAGCTAAGGTTGGCGAAATCCACAGGTGTGAGCTGCTAAGGCTTAGTGTTTAGGGTTTTAAGCTTTCAGATTAGGGTTTTTGGTTTAGGGCTTTATAGGGCTTATAAGGTTTAGGGTTGAGGGCTGATTGGGCTTTCAGGGCTTTTGGGGTTTTGTAATGGGCTGGCAGGGCGCATAGGGCTTTGCAAAGGGCTCAATAGGGTTTTCTACAAGCTTATGGGGTTGCAAAGGGGGGTTTTATGCAAGTTTGGGGGTCTGTAGGGTGCCTTTTTTCTATGTTTCCTGGGCTTCTAGAGTTTCATAAGGGCGTCGATGGTCTAGTGGGCGTCGGAGCGGGGTTGAGGCGTGAGGGTCGGGTCTTCGGCGCTTAGGGCAATAACATGGGGGCCTTCATAATTAGAATAGGGTTTGGGGGTATATTATACTATAATTATAAATGGGAACCCCCAAAATAGTATAGGTAATTGTTAAGGCCCCTACATTAAGCCAAATGAAAGAGATCGCGGCCTTGAACGTTCAAAGTGCCCATGCGAGATGACAGCGAGCTCACTCCAACAACTTCAACGACTTGAAACGCTTGATTACAGAACTATAGTCCCCTTTGAAGGGAACCCTTACCCTAAACCCTAAACCCCTCCATTTTCCTTAAAAGGACCCTTATAGCGAACTTTGGGAGAAGTGACTGTGAACAGTTTATCAACGAGTCTGTTGTCTTACGTAGCCTGGACGAGACCTTGAACGCCAAAGTTCAGTAGCACCTCGGGCAAGATATTGCCACGAAGGGCTAGTGGAGGTTTAACCTGACGTTTCCTTATCGAGGGACTGTGCCTGCAACGGGGATTCACCGAAAGACAAAAAGTTTCAACTAGCTACACCACACCAGCTTTTTGGCCAGCTCTGGTGATGGTGTTGCAAATGCTCTGAATAAGCCCGGTGTTATTCGAGGCAATGAATGCATCCGTCCTTCTCACCGAAGGTCACCCTATCCCAGCCGGTTCGGATGATTTAAGCATTTGCTCCGCTTGAAGCAAAACCAAGGTGTAAGAGTACATCACCGAACCTGCTTCCTGCTAACGCAGCTGATCCTACACGCATATATGAGTGGTTGTCAAAATTAGGGTCCCTTTTTGGGTCCCCATTATAGTACGGCACCTATTATTTCAGGCACCCCAAAAGGGACCTTAATTTTGACACCTACCTATATATCACTACTCCGAACACGGCACATCCGAAGGCCCAACACAAGCCCTGGGAGGAGCCCAAGTTGCAGGACGGGCGCCATCCCCCTGAAGGTTTGAAGATAAAACTTCTGAGTCTATAGTGCGTCCCCCACATATAGATATAGATATAGATATAGATATAGATATAGATATAGGTATAGATATAGATATAGATATAGATATATATATATATATATATATATGTATATAGTTTTGTATGGTATGCCCCGATTAAGGTCCCACACTTAGCCATAGAGCCTTAAACCCTGATCCTGGCATCGCGCCCCAAGCCTTCCATAAGAGGGTCCTATAAGGGGTTCTATAGGGCTAAAAGATGGTGTTGGGTTGGAGGGCCCTACGGGTCAGAACAAGCAACATCTTCGGATGTCTTGTTAGCGAATTGTCCTAGGGACCCCAACGCAGTGCTGTTACGAACTCTGCAGGCGCCTATGTTAGTTGTAAACCCTCGTCCAGGAACCCAATAAGCCCCTGAACCCGTAACCCTCAGCCGTAAACTCTGCACCCTTCAGAAATGCAACTGGACCTCAAGCTCCGAACCCCTAAACCCTCAACCCTCGAACCGCCAAGACCCTAATCCGAAATCCTCCCGCTTTTGGTGGTGCCTTCGAAGGAATCTGATCGTTTGGTGGAGGCTTCGGTATCACGGGAGCCTGGTGCCACTGGGGATTTGGGTTCAGGGTTTCGGGGCCTAGGGTAATGTAGGAAACTAAGAAACCCTGGGCCTTTAACCCCAAAATAGTAGGATTCATATAAAGGCCCAAGGCTTCTTAATCAGGTTCCTACACTATTGGGATTAGGGATCCAGGGATCAGGGCTCCAGGGCTCTGAGTTTAGGGTTTTGGGCTTTACATCAGGGTTCGGGATCGAGGAGTTGGGGCTGTCGTTGTAGCGCAAAGTCAATAGAGGCGCCGTATTCATCTGCATAGGATGCCTCTCAGGGTTTCTTTGTGGTTCCATAGAGGATTAGGGTTCTGGTGGTTTTGGGGGCCTTAATCACGGGAATCAGGCCGGGGTATGTTATACTTGGAGTCTCTTTGGAAGTGTAAGGGGTGACAACTGCCAATTTGGGGTGCCAGACTTCGGGACGACGATCGCTTCTGAGGTCGACAGCATAACTTGAAGCTTTGGGAGTGCGGGATTGTGCTTTGGTTTGGGGCCTGGGGTTTAAAGGTTCGACTTTCAAGGTGCTCCGGGGCGTCAAGCTCATCCGGTGAAGGTCTGTCGCACACCTTCTAAGCAACCTCAACCCATGAGCCGGAGCCCTTGAACTAATACAGGGGCCTTAATAATTAGAATAGGTTTTTGGGGCCCATTATAATAGATGTATCATAAGGAACCCCCAAAGTAGTATAGGTAATTACTTAAGCCCCTTAAGGTTTTGGGGCCCATTATCATAGATGCATAATAAGGAACCCCCCCAAAATAGTATAGGTAATTACTTAAGCCCCTACATTGCTAAACCATAAACCTCAAACCTGCCTTGCCGTTGCTCGTGCTTACAGATTTGCAGGCCTGCATACGAAGCACCTCAGGGAGGTACCTCAAAGAACCGAAACCGCAAAAGCACGCATGAGAAGCCGAAGCTCTAACCGTCGAACACCCGAAAACCTCGTCAAAGCCAAAGCTCCCACACCCCCAAATCCAAAGCCCCTACACCCAAAAACGTAAGCCGTAGACTAGTAGAGCCCTTGCAAGAAGCCTTGAAGCCCGAAATCCCCATAATAATTGCAGCCCAAAGCCTCTTCTAACTATCAAGGCACCTACATCCCTAAACCCTAAACCCGAAACCCTAAACCCTAAACCCTAAACCCTACATAACTGCTTGCCACGGCGCTGGAGTGTAGACGGGCGGCGCCTTCTTGGGCACCGGCTTGGCCTCACGAGATTGAAACCCGCTTCCAATTTCGGAGTTAAGCTTCTGGGTTTAAGGGGTAAAAGCCAGAAAGTTGGAATATGATAATCCTAAGCCCTTTATGGTAAATTATAGGGTATCCTACCCTGAAACCATACTCCAACTTTCTGGAGTTCCCTTTAGGGTTTTGGGTTTAGGGTTTCAGCTGTAGGGTTGCGGGTTTAGGGTTTAGGGTTTCAGGTCTAGGGTTTCGGGTTTCGGGTCTAGGGTTTCGGGTTTAGGGTTTAGGGTTGCGGGTTTAGGGTTTAGGGTTTCAGGTCTAGGGTTTCGGGTTTCGGGTTTAGGGTTTCGGGTTTAGGGTTTAGGGTTGCGGGTTTAGGGTTTAGGGTTTCAGGTCTAGGGTTTCGGGTTTAGGGTTTCGGGTTTACGGGGCTCGAGTCGAGGTTGAGGGTTTGGGGTCTGGGGGTTTGGGCTCAGGCTCTATGGGTTGAGGCTTCAGGTGCAGAAGGCTCAAGTTAGACAGCAATATGGGTGCTTGTCAAGATTATGGTCCCTTCTTGGGTCCTTAATGTAATAATTGAGGGTGCCCAAGAAGGGACCGTAATTTTGACAACCACCCATATGTTAGATGGGTCATGGCATTGGCAGAAGGCACTTCGGCCACCCAACCTCGACATGAGCCCTGTATTTTAGACTGGCGAAGTACATGTAATGGCTCCAGGTATAAACCTGAAGTTTGGGTCTTTGGGATAGTCCTCCACTACTTGCTCATGACTATTATTCAACGTCCACTGCCCACTCCATAGTCTGCGGTGCATTTCTGCTGAAGCTACTGAGTTGTCCTTTAAGCCCTTTGAATTTTTTTCTTACTATTATGGCTCTCTCCGCTTACCAGGGGAAATTTAAAAAAAAAGAGATCCCAAAGGACGACCCAGGTTAATAGGCAGAGCTCGGCCCTTGAGCTGCGCCTGGGGGCTGCTCGTCTGCGCAGACGTCAAAGCGGGTGGCGGTTGTGCCATCGATTGCGAAGGCGGGGCCTCTGCTGTGGAAACCGTTTAGGGTTTAGGGTTTAGGGTTTAGGGCTTCGTTATCGGGTCAATCTAGGTTTAGGGGTTTAGCATGTAGGGCTGAGGGTTTAGTCTGCGAGAACTCGAGACATGTTCATATTGAAATACATCTGGGAGTTTCCGAAAATAGGGGACCCTAATATAGTACCCTAAATAGTAGGATCCCTATTATAAGGACCCCAAAATAAGGTACCCCGAATTTTCGGAAACTCCCATCTACTTCCAGGTTACCATATGCGGAACCAAGCACAACGGCAAACTCTTTCATGCCCAGAACCACAAAGAAACCCCAAATCCCAAAAGACCTAAAGTCTACCCCCAAACGCACCAGGCCCGAAACTCGAAAATCGTAACTCCGAATCTCCGCGCAAGACTTAGCCGGCTGAGCAAGGGCCTTCAAAACTTAAGCTGGGGATCCTTTCAGTCTTTCTATGAGGGGCTTGGGGTTTGGGGATTTCCGGGCCTTAGCAACTACAACATGATTTCGGGGCATATTGTAACATCTTATAGGGGCTTTAAGGGGATACGACATCTAAGTACTCAGGCCCCCGTCTTCGTCATGGTGTTCCCTCGTAGTCTTGTGGCAGTGTGGTGGCACTACTCCGACCATCCATAGCAGTCTGCGTGTACACCACTGCAGACGCACTGATGCCACTATCAAGGGCCTTAAAGACTACGAAATCCAAGCTGATTCCGTAGACCCCACAAACACCTTACATAACCCTGAGGCGCGAAGAGAACACTTATGTACCAAAATAACCCTGTGAAGCTGTACATGAACAACCCGCCGTACTTCGAACCCCCCCCCCCAAGTAAAATTCATGCTAAGGCAAACAGAGTGAACTAAGGCAAAAACGGCAGCTCGCTTGCTTCCAGAACAACCCGGCATACCCAATTCCGTGCCTTGAACTGGGGCGGCGAGGGCTTCGAGGTCGGCGGAACGTCCTGGCACGGTCTGCGTGGGGTTTAGGGTTGATGATATAAATCCTGCATGACCCATCATAAGGCATGTACCATAATTCCCATAGTGTAGGGGTATTAAGGTAGCATTCCCTTAAGGGGCGAGTACGAAGATTATTGCTTGGGTTGCTACCCCCTCAGCCTGCTTAAGGTCTCGGGTGTAAAGGCTCAAGATAGTAGGCACCGCAAGCCCTAGAAAAATAGAGCATAAACCCCAGGTCATAAACCCTAGGTGTGTTGAGTTCAGGCCTCATGCTTCAGGGCGCTGGACTCGGGAGGTGCATTGGCCTGTATAGAGGAGGCAAGGCTTGAGGGAGTCAGGGTTAACAAATGAAGGCCTTGGAGGTTAGGCTAGGGCGTCGGCGCCTGATGCATATCTAAAACAAGGAAGCCCAAGGAATAATGCTGGTAAGTCGGAGAGTCCACCAGCTTAACGGCTTAGAAGTTGCAGCCTTGCAACCGCTGGACTTAGGAGTCAGGGCTGAGCTTTTGGAATTTTGGACAGGCTGTACCATTGAAGCTCTTAAGAATGCTGACATACGGACAAGGCTTCCGACAAGATTTGCCCCTAAAGCCTCAGACCCTCGCGAAGATCTAGCCTCATCTAGATCAAAATCCTGTTCCTCAAACCACTACTGCTGCTGCTCCTACTTTACTACTACTACTACTACCACCACCACCACGACTACTACTACTACTACTACCACCACCACCACTACTACTACTACTACTACTACTACTACTACTACTACTACTACTACTACTACTACTACCAGCCTCCTCAAAGACAGTGCGCGAGAATATTGTCAGGGCCGTAACACACAGAATAGGGTTTGGGAGTATCTGATTGTTTGGTTCTCATGGCCAAAGGGTATATTATTCCTAATTATGCCAAAACGTTAAACCCTAAACCTACTATGAACCCTCCCTATAGACCCTGTACCAAGCCAGTCTAGCAACCCTGACAAACCGTGCATACGGACCCTTCAACTCTCTGTAGAATGCTAGAAACGTTATAGAATCCTGTAACACTTCCCTAAACCCTTAACCCTAACCTCCCCTAAACCCCTGGCCCCCGAATCCCCTAAACCCTAAACCCCCTAAACCCTAAACCCCTAAACCCCCTAATCCCATAATCCCCTAAACCCTAAACCCTCCACCAGACTCTCAGCCGCCCAACCTGTGTAGGCAAGGGCGGCGCAGGAGGCCTTGACGATTCCCTGGGCCTTGGGCCAGAGAGGTCCCTTACCGCGTTCCCAGAGACTCTTAGGGTTCCTTTAAAGGGATCTACGAGGGCTCCTTTGAAAAACGTTAAGGGGTTCCTAAAAGGGGTCTGTATAGGGTTTAGGGTACCCAGAGACTCCAATACCCCATAATAAAGGAATATACCTCAAACTATACTTGGATTTGTAAGGTGACTTAAGGAATATTCCTTAGTTAAGGGATATGGGAGTCTCTGGGTTCCTTCAAGGGGTGCCTAAGGTAAGGGCCTCAATAATTGGAAGCAGGGTTTTGGGGTGTACTATTCTATAGCTATAACAAGGAGGCCCAAGAACAGTATAGGTAATTATGAAGGCCCTAGGGTGCCTTATAGCGGGTTTTTCCAAGGGGTCCTTAAGGGGTTCCTGAAAAGGATTCCTCGCCGGGGTGTTTCAACTGAAAGGGTTCCTGAAAGGATTGCTTGAAGTGGTACTTCCAGGGCTCTGCGCAGTGTTCCTGAAAGGGCTTCGTGCTTTCGCACAGGGGGTGGGACGACCAATTGCTTGCCTTAGCAGGGGCTGTGGATGGATGTCGCTTTGGGGCTTTAGGGTTCCAGGGGTTTGGGGCAGTAGCCTGACCCTAAACCCTAAACCCTAACCCCTGAACCCCTAAACCTGAGGGCCGCGCTAGCCGTAAGTTTTGGCTTTTGCAGGTGATGCAGCTTCGAAGGTCCTCAAAACCTGAAGCCCTGCAACCCTCATGTAGGGGCCTTAATTGTTGGAATAGGGTTTGGGGGGTTGCTACTAAAAAAGTATAGTAGATTATTCCCCCAAACCCTAGTCGAATTATTAAGGCCCCTATACTAAACCCTTAAAGTGACCCTTATAGGAACCTTTATGATACCCTTTAGAGGAACCCTACTCTAAGAGTATTAAGGCCCTCCAGGCCCCTTCATGAAACCTCCTCCTGATTCGAAAACCAAGGGGCGGCCACTCACTTGCGCCACTTGGAGGCGCCTTGTGCATCGACGGCGGTGCCTTGTAGAGGCTCTCCTGGGTTTATTTAGGGTTTAGGGTTCAGGGTTTAGGGTTCAGGGTTTAGGGTTTAGGGTTTAGGGTTTAAGGTTTAGGGTTCAGGGTTTAGGGTTTAGGGTTTAGGGTTTAGGGTTTAGGGTTTAGGGTTCAGGGTTTAGGGTTCAGGGTTTAGGGTTTAGGGTGGCTTTTGGGATCTGCTCTTGAAGGGCTTTGTCAGCCCGGCTTTCGAGGCATACGACAGCTTTTGAAGGGCTTTGTGCACCCAGCTTTTAAGGCATACGACAGCTTTTGAAGGGCTTTGTGGGCCCAGCTCTTAAGGCATGCGGTTTAGAATTTAGGATCTTCGTCTTCGGCTTTATTTCTTCGGCAGATGCTATATTATGCTATAATTATAAAAGGGGAACCCCCGCAATAGTACTGGTAATTACTGTTAGATCGCTGACCCTTGCGGGCGACAGGTGGAAAAGCCTCCGATTTCGGAGCCTGGCGAATCCAAAGCTGGTTTGAACATTCTCGGGGGCCCTGCCCTACATACGAAATTCGGAACCCCGAACCCCAACACCCTCAAAATCCCAAAAACCCAAAGCCTTATACCCTACACCTGAAGCTCGAAAATCCCGAAATACCCGACCCAGGCAAATGAAGGGATCTGAAAAGCAGAACACGTCCAGACAGTCCCATCTCCACCCGCCATAATAGCAGGATAACGTGTTGCAGTGGTTTTCCTGGGTTTACTTGGGATCACGGAATGTGAGCAGTTCCAGTTCCATGGTGTTACAAGTCTCTATCCCTAGGGATCAAAATAGCCCAAGAGCCTTATATAGTATGGTCTTTGGGCCCAAAAGCCCTAATACATGTAAGTCCTTAGATCCCCAGGGTATGAGTCTATAAGGGAGTTTCCGAAAATGGGGACCCTACTATAGTACCCCAAATGTTAGGATCCTTATTATAAGGACCCCAAATAAGGTACTCCTAATTTTCGGAAACTCCCATGAGGGGTCGGAGAGTTCCTTCTGAGGTGACTTGTTTCACAAGGATCTGCCAGGGCTTGAGCCCTGAGCAAAAGCCAGGATGTAGAGCTATCTGAACTTGGAGGTTCATGGGTAGTTATAAGTGTCCCTTTAAAGGGATCTATAGGGATTCTATAAGGGTATAGGGTTTAGGGTCTGCTTCGAGGTTCATGGGTAGTTATAAGTTGGGTTACAATTAAGGTAACTGTGGTTATAACCCCTATTCGGGGACTTATCCCGATTGATAACTACCATGGACCTCCAAGAAGGCACTGCCTGGCCAGAATGCAGCTAAGCCCAGAAGCCCTACAGCCTCATTCCTGAAGCCCTACAGCCTCATTCCCGAATCGTTAAAAAACAATCTTACAGGACCCTTAAAGAACTCTTATAGAACCCAGGACCCTTAAAGAACTCTAATAGAACACAGGACCCTTAAAGAACTCTTATAGAACACAGAACCCTTGAAGAAGTATTATAGAACCCTATACTGTAGAACCCTTGAAGTGCCAAGGCCCGGACAGCTCCGGGGGGCGCCTTGCGGGCGATGGGCGCAGGGTAGTTATAAGTGTCCCTTTAAAGGGATCTATAGGGATTCTATAAGGGTATAGGGTTTAGGGTCTACTTCGAGGTTCATGGGTAGTTATAAGTTGGGTTACAATTAAGGTAACTGTGGTTATAACCCCTATTCGGGGACTTATAACCCGATTGATAACTACCCATGGACCTCCAAGAAGGCACTGCCTGGCCAGAATGCAGCTAAGCCCAGAAGCCCTACAGCCTCATTCCTGAAGCCCTACAGCCTCATTCCCGAATCGTTAAAAAACAATCTTACAGGACCCTTAAAGAACTCTTATAGAACCCAGGACCCTTAAAGAACTCTTATAGAACACAGGACCCATAAAGAACTCTTATAGAACACAGGACCCTTGAAGAACTCTTATAGAACACAGGACCCTTGAAAAACTCTTATAGAACCCTATACTGTAGAACCCTTGAAGTGCCAAGGCCCGGACAGCTCCGGGGGGCGCCTTGCGGGCGATGGGCGCAGGCGCAGGGGCAGGGGCCGTGCAAGGCGCCACGGTGGTGGCATCGATTCCTTGGTAAAGGATATGTGCCGGTTTGGGGGCGTCTTTGGGCTCTATATGCTTCAGGGCTTAGAAACCCTGGAGCATGAGCCTTGAATTTGGGGAATCTGCAATTTCAGAGTAGCTTCGGCGTCTTTGCGTTCAGCCTCTCGGGCCCGAAACCAGCCATGTGCCATGCATCATCGTGTGAAGCATTCACATTGGGTGGTTGTCAAAATTAGGGTCCCCTTTACGGGAAGGTTGTCTTCTTCTTCTTCTTCTTGGAATGGTGGTTTACGACTTGAAGCATCAATGCTTCTGGGCTTCACGACATGATTAAACAGACGTATAGTCGATACTCAAACTCCCCCAGACCAAACCCTAAAACCCCCAAACCTAAAACTGTGGTCCTTTGGCCCCAAACCCGAAACCCGCAAGAGCTCTTTTCTTCCGCATCAGTGCCAGGGCAGCAGGACGGATCCCTGCATGTCCGGTGCCGTAGAGAGTTCCACGCGCCAGTTTTTCGTACCTGGGAGGCACTTGAGGGCTTACGAGGAAGATAGGTTCGTCTTCTGGCAGAGCATTCCGGGCCTGAGGCCTTTGGCCTAGGGGGACAGAGATTTTAGGGTTTCAAGGAGCTTCAGGTACTAGGACCCAGACTGCGCAGGTCTGAGGCTTCCGAGGTGCAGGGTTTAGGGTGAACTTGCGGTCCACCTTTGCGAGCCCCGCTGCTACTGCCACTGTTGCTGCTTCTGCAGTTGCTGCTACTGGTACTCCCGCGACTGCTGCTGCTGCGACGACGGCGAATCTTGATTTTCCTTGCGATCACTTGTGCACGTCCTGCATGCGTTTTATTCAGGTGATGGTCATTACGAGGATGACTGTGATGGCGACAGCAGCAGCTAGTCGTATTCAGGGCCGGAACTGTCATCATGAAAAAACCAACCCTGAACCCTAAACCCTAAACCGCTGAAGCAGGTCAGCCCAGGCCCGGGTGCTCCCCATAGCGAACTTCGCGGTGCCGTCGCGAGGGCACAGCACGTGGGCAAAGTGCTCCTCACTTTGGCCCCAAAGGCACTCGAAACCCCAAAAAGCCCCAAATCGCCGAAGCCTAGGACCCGATAACCCTACACCCCAAATCCTAGCAGGTTAAGCCCCAAAGCCCTAAAGCTCAAAACCTCTCTACACTAAACTCCCTCTCCTCGCAAGTGAGGAGCAGCTCGCTGCCGCCGTCGGCAGCCGGCCGGATGCGACAGCCGCTGCCTGCCTGCTGCGAAGGGAGGGTTCAGGGTTCATTTTCCACGTACTTCCAAACATAACCATAAACCCGCTCATGTAAATCCCGTAAACTCCCAAAGCGATGACTCAGCCCCAAAACTGCAAACACCCTAAACCCCACCCTAAACCCTAAACCCTAAACCCGAAACCCTGAACCCTACCCGAAACGCGAGAAACCTGAAATCCAAGCATGCTCGCCTCGTCGGAGCCCTGTCGGCGTAACCAGAGCTCCTGGATGAATACAGGGGCCGTGCTTGGAGGCTCATGGGTAGTTATAAGTGTCCCGTTAAAGGGATCTATAGGGATTCTATAAGGGTGCAGGGTTTAGGGTCTACTTCGAGGTTCAACCCGTATAGAATCCCTATAGATCCCTTTAAAGGGACCACTTATAACTACCCATGAACCTCCAAGTGGTAGTTAGAGCAGGGCTTTTGGGTGCATTACATAGGAACTACGGGGGAATCGAAGTCCGAGTTCTCTAGGCTTCTATGACACATTTGGGAGTTTCCGAAAATAGGGTACCTTATTTGGGGGTCCTTATAATAAGGATCCTACTATTTAGGGTACCATATTAGGGTCCCCTATTTTCGGAAACTCCCAATCCGGTTGTGAGGGCCGGGGCTTAGCTGCGAGAGACAGCCCGGCTCCGTCAGTCAAAGGCTGTGGCTCCTTGTATCTACTTGGGTGGTTGTCAAAATTATGGCCCATTTTTGGGTACCCTATATTTAGGTGCCGTATTGTTATAAGGACCCATAAAGGGACCCTAATTTTGACAACCACCCACTTGAATCGAAAGAGTTGCAAGATGCCGTTTTTGTAAGAGGATTTGGCTTCGGGAGAAAGATCCGACAATTTCTCTGCAAGGGCAACATGCACCTTGCAACCCGTACCCTAACCTCAAGGCCTCAAGCACGAGGGTTTAGGGCTTAGGGGGGTTCGGGGTTTAAAGCTCCGGCTGTGGGTTTCTACTGTTGATGATATAAATCCTGCATTACCTTAAGGACCCTAAACTATGGGAATTATTGTATATTCCTTATTATGGGAAATGCAGGATTTATATCATCAACCGTAGGGACCCTAAAGTCCAGGCAACCCCCAAACCTCCAAAAACAAACAACTGGCAAGAGTTGAAGAAAGACTCGACTGTGAAACATCCAAAACATAACACCTAAGAAAACTTTGAAGGAGTTTCCTCAGCCCAAAATCCCAGGTACCCTAAACCCTAAACCCCAGGCCCCAAACACCCCACAACCGACCTCCAGCACAGCGCTGCCTCCCTCTGGATCCGTCTCAATCCATTCCTTGGGCTCCTTCAAAGGGGAGCTCTAGAAGTAGAAGCCCATTACAGGTGGGTAGTTCCTCTTCCATAGTACTCCCATAAGACCCCTTTACCTTATAGGAGTGGTATGGAAGGCTTATGGGAGACTACCCACCTTAAAACTACCCACCTGTAAATGGCTTAGAAGAAGTGCGAGGACTCCTTTCAGGCTCCTTCAACCAACTTAACTAGGGGGCCCCCAAAGAAGCACAGAAGCAAAAATTAGGATAGGGATATCTATGGGAGTTTCCGAAAACTAGGGGCACCTTATTTGGGGGGTCCTTAGGGTACCACATTAGGGTCCCCTCTTCTTGGAAACTCCCATATCCCTATCCCATATAAACCCCCTTTTTGGGGGGTCCCGAATTAAAGGGTTTGGGGCGGCTCCAGGACTCTTACTTGTGTACAAGAAGAAGGGAAAGGTATGTGATTCTTACCCCATTTCGGGTTTCGGGTTTAGGGTTTAGGGTTTAGGGTTTAGGGTTTAGGGTTTTAGGGGCTTGGCCAGCTGGAGCTATGCGCTTCGGGCTCCTGGCGAACTAGAGGCCTGAAGTAGCGGATTGTAAGGCCGAAGTTTGTGGGAGCGGTTCTGGGTTCCGCAATGGAGGGAACGAAGGTCCAGAACCGCACAGTGACATTCCGCGACCCGCTCCTCTTTCCACGTTACCCGACCGCGGTCCTGTCCGGGAGAGGGATAAGGCCGAAAGGGCCTGAGATTCCTACTCCATGCGCTGAGCTTAGGGAACTTCATAGTCGAAGGGTCACTCACTGTCTTCTGCTTCGCCCCGGCGGGACTTACAGTTTTCAAGTGTCCGGTCGCCCTAAGCCCGAAACCCGAAACAAAATCCCAGCCCTGGCCCTAAGCCCCTGGCCCCTTATTACACCTCGTACAAAGCCTATCCCTGGAAGACCACCATAATGAACGATGAAAGGTCTCCGAACAATCTATTTTGAGGTCTTGTAGTTGACCTCATGTTTCGCTTATGACAAATCGTGGGGTCTTACGTAAACCCGTAAAAAGAAGCCTAAGATGTACCGTGAGTGAGAAAGAACTCCTACATGCCTGCAGATGAATGTACAAACCCGACTCACCCACACCCTCAACCGAACCCAACTAACCCTACACCCTAAACCCAACTGACCCTCCACCCTGAACTCAACTAAGCCTACACCCGAAACCCAACTGACCCTGCACCCTAACTTAAACCCTGAACCGTAAGCCCGAAAACGGCCGCCTCCGTCGCTGCTGGCGACGCCACCGCCTTGGCAGCGCACTTTTGCAGCGCCTCCTCGAGGGTCGGCTCGGCACATCCTGCCTCGAAAGCGTTTAGGGTTTAGAGTTTCCGAAAGTAGGGGTACCTTTAAAGGGATCCTTAAAGGGATCTATAAGAGTTTCCGAAAAATTCGCGGTACCTTATTCTTTGGGGATCCTTATAAGAAGGATCCTTTTTAGGGGTTTAGGGGTTTCAGGGTTTCGGGGTTTTTAGGAGTTCCAGGGTTTTTAGGAGTTTCAGGGTGCAGGGGATCCTGGGTTCGGGGCTTAAAGGGAACTCCAGAAAGTTGGAATATGGTTTCAGGGTAGGATACCTTATAACTTACCATAGAAGGGTTTAGGATAATCATATTCCAACTTTCTGGCTTTTACTTTAGTGGCCTTGAGGGCCTTAGGGGCCTTAAGGGACATTACCAGGGCCCCCAAAAAGCACATAAGCAAAACTTAGGATAGGGATATCCCATATAACCCCCCGCCCCTATAATGAAGCCCATTAAGGGTAGGGATATCCCTATAAAATGCTTCTGTGCTTGTTTGGCCCCCGAAATAACAGTGTTTGGCGCAGGCCTCACAGAGCTTCTTGTGTGCGATTAACGGGCGCCTTGAGCACGACAGCCGGTGGGCTTAGGGGGTTAGGGTTTAGGGTTTAAGGCAAACCCTAAACCCTAAACCCTAAACCCTAAACCCTAAACCGTTTAGGGTATCTCTTCTGTAGGGCTTCCTACCACCGCGTCTTATGCTGGGAACTCTCGGGGCCAGGCCCGCGGAGGTTTGGGGCTTTAGGACGTCTGCAAAGGAGTGCTAGGGTTGAGGATATCAATCCTGCATTGCCTTAAGGACCCTAAACTATGGGAATTATGGTATATTCCTTGCTATGGGTAATGCAGGATTTATATCATCAACCGTAGGGTTTGGGGTTGAAGGTCAGGCATGCAGGGTGGAGAGTGGATATGGCATATGGCTCTTCAGGCCTGCAGCGGCAAGGCTTTCAGGTCTCCAGGTTTGCAACAAGGTTTACGTGAGGGGCTCTTCAAAGGCTCTGTTGTGGCTTGGAGGTTGCGGGGAGGCTTAGGGGTTGAAGGACTTTTGGGGTTGCCTGGTAGGCTGAGGATTACCTGTAGGGTGATTGGGATGCGGGGTTGGGGCTCAGTGCAGCATCTAGG